ATCTTAAAAAATCACGAATAAATTTTTGTGATCTAATCAAAACTACACGAGCATTACCTTTGTTTATAAACATTTTCATGAGCTTCTCTCAACTTTTTAGTAGTTAGTGGATACTTTATTGAATTTCATCAGCAATATACATACCTTAGTTTGTTGAGCGGTTGGAATTCATTCTAAATGATTTTTCATTCTTAAAAAAATTCACTTTCGTTCTTTAGAAAGCTAAAACTACGCAGTCTATAGTTTAGATGATAAAAAATAGGCCTATCTAACGTGATGAAATTTACAGGCTTGGCAGTTGTTCATGGAAGAGGACGAAATGAAGATGTATAAAAGAGAATTAGAAATTAATGGAATAGTCTATGACCCACTGAAAGCTGTCCATCTTGTGCAGGTTTTTTCAGTCTTCGAGTTTTCCTTAAAAAAATCTGGAATATACATTTTCACTGAGTAAAACTTAGAGTCTAAATTTCTTAGTTTTCATAATTTTAAGGAAAAAAACGAAAAAAATGTTATATTAAAATCTATTAGAGATTTTTTTGAGGAATTCGATAATGTAAAATAATGGAATTCATTTCATCTTTCAATATATCCTGGAACTTTTGGAAAAAATTTTTATATTTACAACATGAGAAAGTAGCAGTGAAAACATTATCTTTTTTAGCAGTGATAATGGGTTAATAAAATGATCATTATTCTATTTTACTTCAGGGTGTATCGGCCCGGGAATACATCCATTATTTTTTTCGAACCGCGATACAAACATGAATGGGATGGTTAGTTAATCTGTTTGTTTTTTGTTGTTTTTTTTTTTTTTTTTTTTAAAAAGAATGGACTAAAAAAGAGATTTAGGGAAAAAACATTGGCGAAAAATAAAAAGCCACTTGTGCAACTGTTCCTGTATTTTCTTTTTCAAGTTTTTCAATGGATTTTATTCCATATTTTAAAGGATGAGGTTTTCGTTACAATTTGTATTTTAGACAGTTTTTGGCATTCATTGTTGACGCACTAACTGTTATTCACAATTCATTTAGATTTCATCAGGTTTGAAAAAAGCAAACAATTAGTGGAAATGATATGATAAATTTTCAGAAACATTGGTCAGAACAAGAGTCGTTGATAGGATTTCAATGGATACTGTTATAATACATCAGGTTAAGCACATTTCACTCAGGCATACCGAATATTTCTTCGTGATCACACTTTCTGGACATTTGATCAGTTTGTTCTGTTTACTAACTTATCATGTTCGTTTGTGTTATATTTTTCTTTTCAGTTACACAAAAGAATTTGGCCGTCTGCTCAACGGGAATCCTTATTTTGGTCAAATGTACGATACCTTCCGGAAGAAAAAAGCCCGGAAGCATTGGATTTATATATGGTATGTAACCATGATTGCAGTCTACCGAATGTACCGGTTAGTTTTTTTTCTTTTTTGATTTTTTCCACTACTATAATTCCAATTCAAATAAAGCCATGTTTTGATACGAATAAGTGTCATTCCAGAAATTGACTTTATTTGTAACCAAAAAGATAAGAACGACTGAGATAATATTTTATTAATTCATTGTTTTAGTTGCAGCATAATTCCAATGTTCGGGTAGGTTTGACTGTAGCGATGCTATGTGAAACAGTCGTCAAAGATGGGCATGAAAAGCCGGTGGATGAGTTGGATCGTGGCGATATTCAATGTCAAGTGTGTTACTGTGCACAAGGTAGTTTATAAAGCGTATAAAATATGGAAAAAATTGTAATCATTTCCAGATACGCTTCAAGTATGCGTTATGGAAGCTTTTAATTCAGTTTCCTGCAATATTTTTCAAGAAACTGAATTAAAAGTTTATCCTAGCTGACAATGATATAGTAATAGTTTTATGACATTTTTCAATTTTTTCATTGAACTCCATGTAAGCAATCGTTAATGATTTGATTTTTCTATTTGTTAAACCAAATGCTTTAAATGAAGGATTTTGCAGTGAATCCAGGTGGTTGGGTACCAGTAGCAGCATTACGAGTTATTTACAAACGTGAATATCCGAGATTTTTGCATGGTTTCACCAAATATGTACTTAATAAAATTAAAGCTCAACCATTAATGATTTGAAGGAATTATTATTATTTGCAAGTTTCATTTCATTGTATACATGTTTTTGTGCAATTTATTTCCTTTTCTTCTTTCCATTCTCTTTTTTAGTGCTGCTTAAGTAGAACCCTGTTCCGATGATTTAATCAAATCCACCACTCTCGGAATTTTGAACGTTTTTGCTAATTTCAGGTTTACGCTTTGCAAAAAAATTTTAGTAATGCTAGTCTTTATCAATTGTTCACTTCCATTCATTCCTTTTTTCCTGTCCTTCAATGTTTATTATAGACTATTTCATCATCTTCATTTCTAAGATAAAATTCATGATTTCGAAAAATGCAGAAATATTTCTTAAATCCATGTTTAATATTCCTTGTTTACTTTTTCCGTGGAAAATCATCTCATCCTCCTTCATCTACTTAATTTTTTGTGTATTTATCAAATCATTGTTACTAATTACTCTCCGCTGTTGTGCTGTCATCTTTCGACTAGGTTTACCCTGAGTGACAGTGATCTAGTATTGTCTTACCTCTGTCCAGGGATCAGCTAATTAGTTTATGGTTTATTTCTCGAGCTTCCAAACTTAATCCTTTTATTATATTTTGCTCCAATTCAAGGTATGCATTAATGTTGGTTTCCTGCCCATTCCAATTCTCTCATCTCAAACAGCATATGTGAAACAGCTTTTGAATTTCATTCCTTTTTCCATATATTTTCTTGAACTTTTCTGCATTTGTTTTGTGCCTATTTGTTGTTCAAAGCAAGTTTGTAATGTTTTACTTCTAGCATCTTCATCAATTTTGCTTCTTTTTTTGAGAAGCATAAGTTTATTCTCAGGTTATGTCTTAATGGCATTTATTGGATATTACATGTAATATTTACACCAAATGTTTTCCAATTTTTTAGGTTTAAAGCGCAGAATTTTTCTTTTTGATAAATTCGATGTTATGCTTAGTGAAATGATGAAAGAATTGCTGATATACAATACTATCTTCTATTGGTAAAATTTTGTTCTTAGTGATACTACCGTTTTCTTTGACTTTTGCTCTTGGTGGTATGATCATTGCTCCCATCTATGATGTTTATTTGAATCATTTATTGAATAATTGAAATTCAGGAAAAAATATCGCAATTCATATGTAATTTATTAAAAATAGCATAAATTTAATGAACGAAGAAAAAGGAAGTTCATCCATTCATTTATTGAGAATAAATTGGGTATTAAGTATGAAACATATTCTTGTTATTGATATAATCTTATTTACAGCTAAGTTCAAAATGATTCGTTTTTATATGTAACAGTTCACTGAGAAATTTGTTTCCCTCTATTTTCTTTCATATTTACCAAAAAGAGCATTTCGATGTTTGAACTTTACTTATTAAAGCAATTTTCATTTTTTATTGTTTAAAAATTCTGCATCAAAATTTGAATTAATTAAGATAATTATGGTGATACCTTATTTTATTTGCAGATGACAGTGCTGTAAAATTAGATGGTGGTTATTGGAACACTGCTTTTGTTCATTTATAAACTTATTACGATAAGTAGTTTTGACCTTCAAAACTTGGAGACTTTTTTTTTATTAAATGAGTAAGCTATTGGAATTACGTAATAAAATGAGTAAGACGTGCACAGCATGTGACATGTTATTTAACGTAAATAACATTAGTGAAAGGGTTGCTAGAGAGAAGTAGCATTTATGTAATGGAGAGGGATTTGCGTTTTGTTCGAGAAATAGAATCAATGGAGCTTGCGAGACTTGTATTTCACATATTTCATTAAAAACCTTATCAGGTTTATAAAGTTGTTTTCTCATTCTTCCGGTAAAGACTGCGAGTACTTGGTGGATTTTAGTCACGCGGTGGTTTACCTTACGTTGCAGTAATTTCTCATTTTCGATAAATAATGGCGAATTCAAAAGGGGTGCAAGTACCATTCACTAGGTTAGTTGATCACATTATGTATTTCTATATTAAGATACTGCTAGCGGAAATCATGTCCAATGTTTTAAAGCAGTAAGGTGATGATCTCGAGAAACCCGGTTTCTCGGACTTATGCTTTTGAAATAAGTTCATTTTCTGCATTTAAACCTTTGGTAAGATTCAAAGCATGAAATTAGTCCTTTTTTTCCCCAATCCTATTAGGGCATATAAAAATAAGCAATAAGGTATTTCATTAAATATTCTTTTTAGGCGTGAGTGGGACATTGTAACAGATGTATATCGAAGCGATAAAGTATCTGAATTAAAACATGCTGTGGCATTGATCGTTTCATGGAAGGCAAGGTTAACTTTCCTTCTAATTCGATTTCGTTTATTTTACATTCATGAATCATCCAATAATTTTAGGGGAAATTATGTCATTTTAATTTTGAGTCGTCAGAATTGCTTAGTTTAAGTGTTCTCTTCAATTATACTCTTGTCTGCAAAAGGACTTATCGGTTGACATCGTTTTGGTATCGCTTATTCTTGCTAGACACGACAATTGCACCAGATTTCCATGAAGTTTACATTTTTATTCACTGTTAGAAGTATTCCAAACATTTCCAAACTCTCGAACGATTTTTGATTTCATTATTTCCTCTCAAACGAAAAAACGATTTTCTCCTAAACGATATTTAATTTTATTGGTTTTCATCAGAACTGCTAGTCATTCCTTGTGGTATTTACTTTGATTATACCATAATGGTATATCGGGTACGACTTGCATTGATTTGTTCCGGAAAGGATTGATGTTGTTAGCTATCATTGTTAGTTTATATAATCTAGTTCTTGCCAACTCCTGCTCGTCAAGATCTCTAAGTTGCATC